GGGAATGCGTACAAGATGAGGCTGTTCCGGAACATCAGGGAGATGCCCAAATACCTACAGACCCCCAGGGATGGGGTGCGTCAAAGGGACGCAGAGTTAACCAAAGGCTGAAGCAACGTGAGGAATGGAATGAGTGCTGTCTAACTGAACTGCAGCCCAAAGCGTGACCGAATCAATCAGTGCAACGGGGAGAAGAGACTGGTCTCCCGCACAGAACCCCCAACGATTGGCGGAGCTCCCCCAGCCTCCAGGATGGCAGGTGTGAACTCACGCTCCCCAATGCGGGGTGCACGGCGGCCTCCTTCCTGCGGTGTGGGCAGTTACCCGTCTGGCTCTGCTAGCCGAGGTCTTTGTGACTCCCACCTGATGACTAAGTAGAACTACACGAATGTGAGGTGCGTGTGGCCACCACGGGGATCGGAGGGCCGTTCGTAATGTAAACAGGGTGCCTGGCAGCCTTGTGGGCTGGGCCGTGCAAACGGGGTGGATGGAAGCCTGATGTGGGGTCGTGAGCTTTGTTGCTCCGCTAGATTAAAGCGAGCCTTTCTAGAGGCCGAAGGGGTCTCACTGCCGTCAGGAGAAGAGCCGGGGTGGATGGACGTGTCCTTGGACCTCAGATCCCTGTGCCGAACCTCCGTGCCAGAGAGGCTTGAAGAGAGACCGGCAGAAAGACGGCACAGAGATGTGCGGCAGCAGATCCGAGGGACCAGCACGGGCCAGAGCAGGGGCTCCCCGGCCCACGGAACGGGAAAGCTGTGCGCCTTTGGGCAGGGGGCTTGCTGGCGGATTGGGGTCACCTATCGGCAGAGCTGCAAGAGCTTTGTGACCCTGGCCTGAGCAGGGTGGAGACCAGGCTGAGAGGGCCAAAGAAAGGTGTGCCTGCAGGTGTGGCCCGGGGGGGGGGCTGTCCTGACCGAAGAATTGTATGGTTCCTGAACCTGAATCCTAACGTGTTGCTTCCCTAATGAACCGCACAATTGTGAGTATTGTCTGTGAGTGGTGTTTGGCTGTTGCAAGGGATTATCACACCCAGCAGGGAGTCGGAGGTGCCGGGCCGGGAAGGTTGGAGCCAGACGGTAAAAGGCTGGAGGGTGGCAGCAGGTCTGGCCCCCCAGGAATCAGCGTCGGCTGCTGACGTGACTCTGTCCCCCCGCCTCAAGGGAAAGGAGGCCAGCCGAGGACGGCCCGCCAGGTCCTTTCGCGCTTCCCCGGAGCACAGGGCGAGGCTGGGGGAGGTGTCCCAGTGGAGGGGGCTGGCAAGCCCTCTGCTGGAGATGGAGACCCCATCAGCCGGCGCCGATCGTGTCGGCGGGAGGTGTCCCCACGTGATGGTACGAGCACAAGGCTCTGTCACTGTGATCTTCCTCCCACACCCATGCCTGCAGGCTGACCACGAAAACAGCACCCCGAGAGCCCACATGGAAGGAGAACCTGCAAAAACCCAACCAGCGCCTCTCAGTCAGACCACACGGCCCCAGCCCGGAGGAGCCCGAGGAGACGTGAGGGCCCAGGGTGGCATGGGGCCCAGAACAGAAGAAAGGCACTGGGGGGACTCAGGGCGTCTGAATGGCATCAAGACTTTGGTTAACGCCACGCGTCACTACTGGCTCACTAACTGTGACAAAATGAGTGCTAGTGCAACACACTATACCTGGTGGGACAGAAGGTAGGGCGGTTGGCCACTAACCAAAAGGCTGGAGGTTCAAGTTCACTGAGCGGCGCCTTGGCAGAAAGACCAGCTGATGGACTAAAGTTGGCCCTTGGAGACCCCGTGGGTCCCAGCTCTGCTCTGATGCACGTCGGGGCTCCAGGAGACAGGGCAGGCTCTGCAGCCGCTGGGACCCCAAACGACCCGTGCCACACACACGTGCCCATCTGTCTGTCTGTCTCTCTGCAGCCGCTGGGACCCCAAACGACCCGTGCCACACACACATACCCATCTGTCTGTCTGTCTGTCTGGACTCCCAGTGTGTGCAAAGGGTTACAGCCTTCGGCTGCTAACTGAAAGGTTAGTAGTACAACAAGCCCACCCAGAGGCACCTTGGAAGAAAGGCCTGGTTATCTGCTTCTGAAAAGCCAGCCCCTGAAGCCCCCGTGGAGCCCAGTTCTCCCCCGACCCACGCACGGTGACCTGGAGTCAGAGTCGACTCGACGGCAATGGGTTCAGGCTCAGTCTCAGGTTCTGGTGTTGGTTCTGGTGCTATGACAGACTGTGACAGGATGAAGGGGAGCCGGGGGCAGGGCACGTGGAAACTGTGTTACGGTCACCGTTCTTCTGTAAATCTAAAGCTGCTCCAAAAATTAAGTCTATCAGAAAAAAATTCCCCCAGCCCACTGCCTGGAGTTGATTCCGACCCCCAGCGCCCCTAGAGGACAGAGTGGAACTGCCCACAGGGTGGCAAGGCTGTGAGCTTTATGGAAACAGACCGCCTCATCTTTCTCCCTCAGAATGGCTGGGGGGTTGAACCGCCAACCTTTCAGTGTGCAGCCGAGAGCTTTAACCACTACACCACCAGCGCACCTGAAAAAGTCTCAGTGAGGTGGAAACGCTTGATGTGGGTGGGAGGACGCTGAAGACCTAAAGTCATAAAGTGGACCAGCAGCCTCTTGGGGCCTAGGGCACCCGGACTGGCCACACAGAGTCGTATCCTGGGCCCGCGTCCCGCGTGGCCGGGGCCGGCCAGGCGCCTCCCTTCTGCCCCACAGAGATGATGGCCAGCAGGGCAGACCTTGGAGTCAGCTGCAGCCTCCGCCTGCCGGGTGTTCTCAGGCCGGCTGTGCCCCTTGCGGCCTCCTCGTTTTATGAGGTGGAGGCCTCGGCCCCTGTGTGCTCCGTGTGAGTAACACTAGTGGCCACTGGTACTGCACTCGGCCCTCCAGCCGCTGCAGGGGCACGCTCAGTGCACGCTCACCACACACGCGGGGAAACTGAGGCTCAGAGAGGCCTCAGCCCCCAGAGGCGGCCTCACCCCATCAGCCCAAGCAGTCGGCCTTGGCGCCTTCCAGCTCAGTCCTCCCACCCTCTCCCACTGCCCCGGTCCTGGCGGCCTCCTGGCCCCTTCCCGGTCCAAGCCAGGAGGGGAGGACAGGTTGTGCCTTGGGGCTGAGGGCACGCTGGTTCTCAGGAAGGTCTGAGGCTTCAGGGAGGTGGTGGGGGTGCAGCTGGAACCCCAGCCAGGACCGTTTCCACAAACTGGCCGCCAACCCCGTGTGGACACCCGACATGAACACTGTCATCTGGCAGGTGGGGAAACCAAGGCAGGAAGCGGGGAGTGGGCCCCGAACTCACCGGCCCCTCTGGGCGCTCTTCTGTGGATCTTTCCAAACACCCCCCACCTGCCTCAGCTGCCTGCGGCCCCTCCCACCTGACGCCCCAGCCTCCATCCTCTGGGCTCGCACGGGTCGCTCAGACGGCCTGGCCTCACTCAGCCCTGATACCTGAGGCCACTCTCTGGCACCAGGCTGCTCTTGGGCCAGGCAGGTTGAGGGGAGGGGTGGTAATCCCCCCGGCACGCTCCCGCTGCCCCACCTGTCCCCCACGTGTCGAGGCAGGTGGCCCCGAGGTGTGTGTATGTGTGGGGAGCAGGACCCCTACAATGGTCTAGAACTTACCCCAGCCAGGAGGGCAGATGTGTCCCCGTAAGGGTCGGAGGGAGGAAGGGGGAAGGCCGGCTCCCGGGGCCTCTCCACTGCCACCTTGTCCCTGCAGTCCCAGACGGCAGGAAGGCACACACGTTCTCAGGGCGCCTGCCTGCGCTCCGCAGGCCCCGGCAGCAGCCCTGGGTCATTGGCTGTGCAACCGGCCCGCCCCTCGGGAAGGGGCTGGTCGCCTCCTGACCTTCCTGCTCCTTATCGGCCCTGGGAAGTGTCACCGGCATTCCCGGACAGGGTGGGGAGGCAGCCCGGGCTTGGAACGCGGGCCTGGCTCCGGGCTGTCCTGGGCTGCTGGGGGCTGTATGGCACCAGGGTACAGGCAACGCCCCCCCCCAAGAGCTGGAGGGGCCTGGGGACACGGCTCCTCATGGCTGGCCAGGGTGCAGCGCCTTTGCAGCTGGTTTCCATGGCCGGGAGCCACTGGGGAATTGTGCAGCACTGAGCACCTGTTGTGTACCCGGCCCAGGTGAGACATGGGCAGCACAGGCGGGCACGGGGTCCTGCGGGGTCAGAAGGAATCCAAGGGCTGTCCTCAAAGTGGCAGGCTTGGTCCGTACCTGCCTGCCCAGTCTCTGGGCCAAGCTGCACATCTGGGTTCTTGAACCAGCACCCCAGGGCTCCTTGCACCAGGCAGGTAGGGAGAGCCCGTCCTGAAAGGCAGATGTGCCTGCCCGCACTCAGGCAGCTGGGACAGAGCCAGTCCTGGCGCTCGGGACACTCCTCCCCCGCCCCTGACCCTCTGAAGACCAGCTGGGCCCTGCAGGGGTGCGGCCACGGCCTCCACCCCCAGCTGCATGACTCAGGGCAAGTTTCTCAACCTCTCTGTGCCTCACTTTCTGCATTTTTAAATGCAGTCACAGCGAGTCCTTGGCCAACCTCATAGGGAGGGTGGTCTGGCGAATATACAAGTTAATAAGTGATCAGGGTGCATAACGATGTCCTACATACACAGACACATATGCACGCATGGGCTCACACATGGACACATGCATGCACAAGCAGGTACTCACACACATGCACACACATGCACTCACATACGAACACAGGCACACAAGCATGGGCTCACACACATGAACACACACACAAACACAAACTCATACACACACGTGGACTCCCATGTAAACACATGGACCCACACACATGAACACACACACGTGGACTCCCATGTGCACATATGGGCTCACACACATGAATACATACACACACATGGACTCCCATGTGCACACATGGGCTTACACACATGAACCGCACATGCACACCCCGCACACACACGGTGCTCTGTGCTGTCTGGGGGAACCCTGTCTCCCTTGGCCTCAGGCCTCAGCCTGACCAGCCAGGGCAGAAGCGCCTGTCACCCCTGGATGGTAGGGGGTGGCAGGCCCAGGGTTCCACAGGTGGGCCCACAATGGCACTCCCAGGCCAAGGGCGCCCAGCCGGGTCCCCAGGGGCCCCTGAGGTCGGGGCGCACGGAGCTTGGGGGCTGTGCGTGTGCAGGTGCGAAGGCCGAGGCTCCGAGCCACGTGGGGTCCCCCACCTTCGGGCTCTGTGTCAGAGCGTCAATTCTAAGCCCTCGGTCCGTGGGAGGCTGCGGTCCACGTGGAAGCCCGACTCCGTTCTCAGTCTCGACACGGGTTGTGTTTTCTGACCATTCCAGCCGGTTGTGGCTGTGTGTTGACAAGTCCTGGACACGGCTGGGGAGAAGCAGTGCCCTCAGGGAGGGTGCGGCGAAGGTGGGCGTTGCTCACGCGGAGACCTGGGGCACTGGGTGTGTCCTTATCTAGCTTAGGCCAAGGCTGGGGTCTGGTGTTGCCTCCTAGCCACCTTGGGGCTCAGTCACGGTCAGACCACCACGGAGCCAGGCCAAGCCCCAGAGCTGTCCGGTGATACTCTTCTGTCTTTGGTTATGTGCTGCCCTGGTCTGTGGTCCTGCCTGTGACAGTGACAAATCCATGGGCCGGTCATGACTTTGGGATGACTCCCTTTGTTTCCAATAAGCCCCAGGGCCATGACTCAGCAGACTCCTTTCAGCCTCTGGTATTGAGTACAAGCCCAGGGTTTGCCTCAGCCTGGGTGACTGTCCTGTCCTGCCCAAGGCTTCATAAAACGGTCTCCACTGAACAGGTGAGACTCTCAGGTCTCTTTCTCCCAGGAACAGTTCCCGCCACGGACGCCGGGCCTAGGGCTGTGGTCCTCACCCCTGTCCTGGCAGGTCCTCTCCCGCACACAGCAAACCCCTCTCTCGATCTGTTTCCCCGTCTGCAAATGGGCAGGGTCAGCACCCTTCCAGCTGGGCGGTGGGATCAGGGTTTCTGCAGCAGCCCTCCCGCAGGGCCGACTGGGGTGGCCTCAGCTGTGTGGGTGGGTGGTTGGTGGGTGGAGGCCGTGTCCCTGTGTGAATGTGGGCAGGGCTTCTCCTGGTTGTGTGCAGAAAATGTTCTTGAAGACCAGAGCTTTCACGCTCTGTCTGCACCACCTCCTTTCAACCCAAAGTCCATGGGTCGGAATTCACACTGGGAGCAGGGCCGTTTCCTGGTGTGTAGGACACAGCCTCTTGCTATGCAGCCCAAGGCACAACCAAACCCAACCGGTTGCCGTAAGGTGACCCCCTGGGGTCAGAGTGGACGTCCGTGGGGCCTCAGTGGCTGAGCTTTGGAAGTCCACCCCCAGGGCTTCCTTCAGCCATGACGCCCAGAGCTCACTGAAAACAAACAAATGGCCCCAGTTCCACACGGAGGACCTAATCTGGTTAAAGACCATTTTAGAAATCTTGCTTTAAAGGCAAAAAGCCAATGGCACCAGCCCTGAGCAGCTTTCCTATGGGGGGACTAAGACTTTCCCTGAG